ACACAAAACAGATGCCAACAATACATTTGAATATGCCAACGTTAATATAAAGCAACCTCTAACATACTACAAAGTAACACACACACAGCCCTTAAACATAGGTATAGATATGTGTACATCTATGGATGATGCATGCACATTTTCACGTAGCAAGACATGCTGAGGTAAGTGTGCAATGCACAACATTTTTAATTTAATCTTGGATACCACAAGAACTATAATTACTGAATATTCAACAAGAAACAGAATGCAAAAAGAACCATAGCTACCATTATTACCACAAGAACTATAATTTTTTTCACAAGTTCCACTTACATCAAACTTAAACACAAATTAAGCATTAAGAGGTTCCTAACATGCATGCAAAACTACTATCTCATATATTTCAGAACTCCTGAGGTTAAGAGAGGAGGAAAACCTTATCTGATGTGACATTTGTGGAGCTGCTATCGTTACCAACCGGAAGTGGCACATCAGCTGAGCTTGAGGGGCTTGACTCTGTGTACTCAGTGTATTTGAAATCAAAAGTAGAAAGAACACTGGATGATAGATTGAACTGCCATATTCAGATAAATATAGAAGTTACATTATTTAGATGAAAAAGATCATTATTGAATAGAAGCAAAATGATAAAATATAAAGTGGAGGCAACAGTTTATATACCTTTGTTAAGTACAATGTTGGAAAAGCTAATCCTATCAAGAAGCCAGAAACTACTCCAACAAACGTTGTTACAATAAGCTTCATGCTCTCATTCGGCTTTCTACTAGCTACACTGTGGGCAAAAAGATCGAATAAAAGTTAAATAACTTCAACGCCTGAGTAAATTTTTTATACACATAAATAAATAATTCTTTCTTATAAAGAGGCCATCATAAGTTTTGAACCTGCGAGTAAAAATCCCCATGCTCTTCAAATTTGTCTAACTGTATGCTCACAACAAAATGATGTGAAGTCACTCAGCATAAAGACCTGATATCGTCAAAACATTGTATTAAAATGAAGCAAAAGCAAATGGTTACAGATAAATAAATTAACTAAAAACTGAGAACAAACAGCAATTTAGCATCCATCCACTGTAAGATAATATCCTAATTAAATCAAATTGACCCAAATATGCAGAAAGCAGCAAGCCATGAAGCCTTCCCATTCATGCTCTAGGTATTATATAGTAAATATTTAAGCATAAGGAACGAAGTATCAACTAAGAACCAAAATAAACGTCAACTAGTAACTTCACAAAGCAAGCAACCATGTGCTACGACTTTGACAAAAAATCAAAGTGGAGAGGCAAACAAATCCCAGTCATGGATTCAATAACACTACAATCAAGAAAGCATGTGCAATTTTATTTTTCTTTCTTTGGCTTAGAACCGGGAATCCTAAAGCTGCTGAATTCAATAAATTAAAAAGGCAGCATCGCCTAGAAATGTTCAAAGTAACAACCGAGCCTTATCCCTGTAATTATTTGTTCGATTTCAACCACGTTTTCGGTTATTTTGATATCACTATACTTCAAACAATAAAAAAAGTTAAACGACTCAAGTTTGTGCAGAAAAACTGAAATACTAATCGAATCTAGTTTAGGCAAGCTAGAAAACGGAATGATCATACAGATTGTAGATGTGACGATGAATTTTTCTCGGGAACCAAACAGAACACTTATCTTTAAATAAAAATAAAGGAAAAAATAAATTATAAATATTTACTTACCTGAACGGAAAGGTGATATAGTGAATAACCGAGCAAGATCTGGCGGAAACCGAAAGCGTATTTAAAACGCTTAAAAAAAAACCTCTAAATCGCGAGAAAATAAACTCCAACTCTTTAAGTGGAAACCTGTATATATCCTTCTCTAAGTGAGCTAATTTCGTGATCACCCTCCTAAACGGAAAATGACTGGAAACGTGAAAGGGAAAGCACTTGAAACTGAAACCATGGATTTCAATTTCCCGGAAAAAAGATCGAAAAAGGGAAATAATCTACTTTTTTTTACTATTAATTTACTAAATAAAGAATCAAATGCTAAAGATTATTTGATTTTATAATTGCAAAAGCAACAAAGGAAGCTAAAAAAAAATACTAAGATTTAATCTAAACGGAATTTATGTTCTTATAAAAGTAATAGGATTTAATATTGATTTTGGTGAGTGGGATTTGTGCCGGAAATCGTGTGTGGTTTTGATTTAACATTGAAAATTTGAAAGCCTTCTTCTTTGTATTTGACTTTTGACCCCAGCTCCTACTGTTAACCAAGGGGTAAACTCACTTTTAATCCTTGAATTTTGTATTTTTTAAATTTGATATTTGATTTGTTTCAACGTTAATCTATTAATTTTAATTTTTGGCGCTTTAATAATGTAACATTATAAAATTATGTGATGCATCTTGGGTAAATTACACGTTTAGTACAAAAACTATCAATTTTAGTCTGTTTTAGTACCTAAATTTTCAACTTTTTTGAATTATATCTAAAGTTTAACTTTTGTTTCATTTTAGTATCCCTCCGTTAAAATTCTACTTTTTGTTTCATTTTAGTACCCTGTCTAAAAATTAACATTAAGTTTTGAAAAATTGAAAGTTTATGTACTAAAATGGACCAAAAATGATAATTTTGGTACTAAACACATTGATTTTTTAATGATGGTGTATTAAAATTAAATGAAAACTAAACATTAGGTATAATTAAAAAATGAAAGTTTAGATACTAAAATAGATCAAAATTAATAGTTTAAGTACTAAATGTGTAGTTTACCCTCTAATCTTATAGAACTATGCGATCACCCAGATAAATTCATAATAAATACGTAAAATTATAAAAATCCAAAAATACATAAATTTTATTATTTAAAACATAAGGCAATTTTTTGAACTTTTATGATTTTTATGTATTTATTTTATTTAAAATTATTAAAAATAGTAATTTTTATGCATTTGTGAAATATATTGATTTGTATATATTTATTTAAGATTGATTATATCGAATAATTATAATTCTTGAATTTTTAAAATTATAGTTAAATTGCTAGATTTTATAATTGTGAAGGATTAAATTTATTACTTTAATAGGATTAGAGTTAACTCAATAGAATGTGAAAATATTAAAAGCTTAAAAAGTATTACCGTACCATGTAAAACAGTCCACGTCTTCGTTCCGCTGACTGAAACTTTAAAAATGTTAGATGGTCAAAATAGAATATTATAAAGTTGAATGACCAAAATAAAATCAAAACCAATGTTAGGTAACATCCCTTTACAAAGTAAGAGAAAAGGTGGTTCAGAACAGATTTTACGCATGACATTTATTAAGACGTGCCTCGTTATTAATGGCTAGAATTGGTTATTACTTTGTACGAACAAAATGATCTCCGTAGTAAATGATTTGTTTTTATTATTTGAGGATCCGGGTTCGAACACCATATATGTCAGGTATGTGAGCATTCAATATCAAAAGGTTGAAAATTATATTTGAACAGATATTGCCTTGTCCTTACATCAGATTAATAAAAAAAATATTAGAAATTTGGATAAACTACGTATTTAAGTATCAAAGTGAAGGAAAAAACAATTAGGTATCAAAAGTAGAATAATATATATAATCTACGGACTGAATTGAGTGTTAAACCTTTTTTTTACTAAGTTTTTTTTACTTGTGTTGCTATGTGAATGTGTCATCAATTCCGATTAGAAATTTGAATAAACTACGTATTTAGTATATAAATTATTAGTTTTAATTTATTTTAGTATTTAAACTTTCATTTTTTTTAGAATCATACACAATATTTAGTTTTCGTTTCATTTTAGTACCCGTCATTAAAAACTTAATGTGTTTAGTACTATCAATTTTAATCTATTTTAGTACCCAAGCTTTCAGGTTTTATCAAAATCTAACGTTAAATTTTGTATGGTGGTACTAAAATGAAATAAAAATTAAACTTTAGATATGATTTTGAAAAAAAATTAAAAGTTTAGTTATTAAAACATATTAAAACTGATAGTTTATGTTACTAAATGCATAATTTATCCAATAAATTGTTTATTTGCTTAATAAATAACATGGCCGTCGATCTATGTGTCGATTCTCATATTTATCCTTCTATAAAAAATGACCTCTAAAACCACACATATTGGAAATTAAATACATAATTTTGTTAATTAATTTATGACTATTACAAAATAGTATTTATTCTAAAGGTTCTCAATATTTTGACAATGAAAACTCATCACCGTTGCAGTCTCCGATGCTCAAACCTAAGACCTTTAAAGACAACAACAATTTTTTTAACTATTGAGATAATTTAGTCCTTACAATTTAAATATCTTTTTAAATATATCCCTTTCTTTGAAGTCGAATGATAATAAATAATAAGATTTAAGTTTCAAGTCAAATAATAAATTAATCGATTCCTATAAACAGTGATACCTAAATTATTGTATTCTTTTCTGGGTAAACTATATGTTTGATACCTAAATTATTACTTTTACTCTGTTTTTATACCTAAATTTCATTTTATTTTCAAAACTAGTTTATAATTCATCTTGGTACTTCACTGTTAAAAACTTAACAGTGATATTAACGTATCACGATAAGGTAATATCACACCATCATTGAGAAAATAAAAAAATACAACATCAGCAATTCTATTAATTTTCTAACAACAGAGTACTAAATTGAAACAAAAACTAGACGTTATGCATGATTTTGAAAGAATAAAGCAAAATGGAACAAATAGATTAGTTCAGGCACTAAACGTGTAGGTCACCCTTCTTTTTTATCAACTAAAACTAAAATGACTTACCTTATCAATACAAGTTTAATCGACCTCAGCTCCCGTAGTGGATACCAATATTACAGATCAGTAAAATAAAACTATTGAATTAATCTTTCAAGAACTAAACAAATTTTACAGCGGTAACAAACATAAAAGTTCAAGAACAATGGCAACAAAAATCAATCCTAAAGGGGTTTTCATCATTCCAAATCATATGCTGCCTAAGAAAAATATCAAACAGACCCAATGTGCCCACAAACATCTATTCTTCCCATATCTACACAGCCAACAACTTTGTGAGTTTTGTTTCATATCTAAGTTCTATCTTCTAAAAGGCAGACCAGTAAATCTAATTTCTTCAGAATCCAAAGGAATCTCAAAGATTAGAGTCCTAATAATGTAACAAAAGATCAGGGCAAAGTTCTATGCTGCACTACTCTAAGAATCCTTCTTGTGTTTTACCAGAGCAAATGAGAAGAGAACAAATTAACAGGTGAGACTAACAAAATACTATCTGTCCATGAGGTCTAAATTTGAGGGCAGGATTTAGTGAAACCGTATCGATTATGGTTCACCATCTCTCCCTTGACCTTGACCTGCCATAACAAACAACATGATTCCGTTAGCCATATGAACTAGTCTGATTTATATGAGACATGCAGGCTTGGATTTTTCGATCAGCCAAAAAGGAATCAGTGAAGCAATGGAAGTGCAACACATGTCAATAATTAGTAATACATCTCAAATGAATGATCAACACATGCCAAATTTTCTACGAGGACGGGATAAAAATGGCGCTGACAGGAATAAGAAAGTGAACTGGTAGTGTTTTACATCCTTACCCGTTCAAATCTCCATTCCCCAGAAATCCTCTGTCCCTGCCACCTTGAAATTCTCTATGAAATTCTCTTCGATCGTCACCGAGCCTTGACCATGAATTTGCAGTATCACGAGATCTAGGCCTATCCCTGAACTCTACACTCCTAGAGCCATCACTAGACCCAGACTGTGAATGTGGACTATCAGGGAAGCTGCCAATTCGGCCAGCTCCAGAACTAGGCCTTTCCACAACTTTCTGCCCAACTCTAACTTTGTTCTCCAAATCATGGATAAGTGTCTGTAGTTCCCTTTCCTTGTTATGAAGCGTATCACGCAAAGTGGATTGGGCACCATCAGCAGATTCTGAATTTGATGTTGAAACGTTCTCAATCTCCTTCTTTAGGTGATCTATTTCTTCTTTCAGTATCTTTTCCTCCTCTGTTTCTTGCCTGAAACATAATTCACATTAGAAATGAAGAACATAATGGAGTGGGAAATATAATCATAAACTCAGAGCAAGAAAGGAACAAAGGAGAATAAATACAGAATAATGATCAAGCACATAGAGCAATTGGGGCACTTGAAACCATTTAGATGACAACCTTACACAGGAACTCACGATGAATTTATAAACAGTTTTCCATGTCATTACTGGTGCATATGCAACCTACATGTGCTCCAAGTTTATCTGAGTGTAATTGCAGTATAGATATGACTTCAGAACAGTGTAAATAACAGTGATTTTCTATAACATTATAAAAAAAATTCAATTTGGCATGTCAATTGAGGAACATGTACAGAGCATAGTTTCGACGTCAAGAAAGAGTAAACGGTAGAGACCACCTAGCCCAACCGAAGCCCTATTACAATAATACCATAACAGAGAACATGTTTCAGTTTACAATTGAGCTGGCTACATATTCACAAATCAAAGAACTTTTAGAATACAACAGTACATATAAATTTAGTGCATGAAGTAGTTGCCCGGGTTGATTCCGAAGGCAAATATCTGCTGGGAACTTATACATAGTCCAAAATCAGTTTCTAATCAAGTGCAATAGCGACTGCATGAACTTGTTAAAATAGAATGTGCTCAATCACTACATAATCAAGTGGAACGTGTTATGACTGGAAAATTCACACAACAGAAGTGAACTATGAACATAATGGGCATTTAAATCGAATGGAAACCTGTCCATCCTGCGACGTTCTAATTCGAGATCAATTTTGCGCCAATCCTGACCTCGTTCTTCCAGCAAAACTTCTCTAGGCTTAGCATCTCCAAATGGATTGATCTTTGGCCTCAGCTTCGCTAAATTTTCAACCCCATGCTGTTGGAGACCTTCCGACCTGCTGGATTGAGTACTTGATGGCCTACTAGTTGCCTTCTTTGCTTCAATTTCAGAATCCAGCTTCTTCCAATCCAATCCTTTCTCCGCCAACACCACTTCCCTGGGCCGAGCTGCCCCAAAAGGATTCGGCTTATTTGTCTTAACTACAGGCTCATTCACTTCCCCTCTCGGAGGGTCCAATACAAATTTATGTCTTTCCTCCCTGAACCCACCTCTACCACCACCTCCGGCCCATCTATCAGTCTCCGGTCTGGAGTCAGGAAAACCCGAACCAAACGTTGAAGAACGAGCCGGAATCGGTCGTTTTCGAGCCGTCCAATTATCCACCTCGTTGGCCCTGGAGATTCCATCGCTTCCTCCGGTTCCAAGCCCGCCGTATCGGTTTTGCCGGCCCGAATCAAGAGACGGGATTGTTTTCTTTGTCATTTTCCAATTATCCATCTCGTCTGCACGCGGGAGTTGATCGTAGACAGAAGCCCTAGAAGGCGGACGCCGTCGTTCTTCAGAAAAACCTCCGTACTGCCTTCTTCCTGAGACCCATGATCCGCCGCTGTCCTCATTGTTAACCCGACGGGCAGGTGGACCGGACCTCCCATAAGAAGAAAACCCACCTCCGAGACGGCCATGCTCCATTTCCTCAGCGGAACGTTCTTTGGGTCGGGTTGGGAGGAGCATCATCTCTTCGGGTGTCAGCCTGTTGTAGTCTGTTAACCTAGCTCCACCACCAACTCCGCTGCTTCCTGAAGACGAATAAGTCCCCATGGTGAACTCCGAAAGTGTCGTTTTTGTCTTCTTGGGCTTCGCACTAGCGGCTTCCCTCAGGCTAGGAAAACCTTTGGATTCAGGCGTCGGAGCAGCAGCGGTCGCGGCTGCCGCAGCTTTACGCTCCTCCTCTTCTTCTCGCTCGGCCTCGGCGGCCCACGCGCCGATTCTACCCCAGACTTTAGACATTTTTGAAAAATTATAGTATAATTCTCCCCCCTCTTCTTTATTTTATATTTTTTGTTTTTGTTGGGATTTTGGGAAACTTATATAAAACGCAACAGAGGTAGGAGGCGGAATGCGGCCCCCGATTGCATGCAAATAGACGTATTAAGGAGTGAGTTAAAATGCTGAGTCAGTTGAGTTGATGTATATTATTTTATAATTTTATTTTATTCCGAATTAAGTTATGATTATAAAATTTGAGTTGAGTTTAGTTATTTAAATTTTATTTAAATTTAATTATAAATATTTGTAATGTTTATGGTATAAATTGATTTCAATTTAATAAGTTTGTTACAATTATTTATATATATATATATGTATATATTTTTATATTTTAAATATGCAATATAGATATACCATATAGAATTGATAACTCGACTCGAATATAAGCATTAATCTATTAATTATTAGAATTTTGAGTTATTTGAATTATATTTTACAACTCAACTTTTATTTGAATTGTTTTTGAGTCAAATTGATTTTATGAAATTACGAATAGGTTCAAATTTTTAACGTAGAATTGAATAAAAAAACTCAACGTTTTGATTCGATTCAAATTTTATTAACTCCTAACCAGTAATATTTTTTATAAAGGTTTAATATAAAAATAAGTGCTTAAATAATATTTTGAAAAACATTTTAGTATATTTTTTTTTATTAAAAAGATGTACCTAAAGTTTTATCCGTTATATTTTTATGTGTCTCCCGTTAAAAAATAATTTTTTTTTTAAATCTGGATGTGTTACTTAATTATTTTTTAACGGTAATCACTTAAAATTGTAATAAAAAAATCTTTAAATACCTATTTTTAATAAAAAGTTTTTTAGACACTAAAAATTAATTTTGAATATAATTTAAACGAGAAGAGTTGAAATTTGAATATGAATTACAAATAAAGGAGATTTAGTTGAAGGTATTGTTCTCATAATAATAAGTTATTATTTTATTGTTAAGAGAGAGAGGTTACAAGTGTTGTCTTCACAATTTGAAAGTCAAGGAAAATAGAATTTGTAGACGAGATGCATGCGTAAATTTAAAGCGGACACAATAGAGTAAACCGTAAGAACCGAAGGTGAAAAGCACGATCCAATAAAAATAATGGACTATAGGAATGTGTGTAGCTTTTAGGGGTAGGTAGCTGTTGTGTAGGGCCTAAGCAACTCGAGGTGGATGACTGGATGGTGCTATTTGATTTTGGGGGGTAATGGAGGGCAGCTGTGCTGTACCATTCAGGCTATACCTTTCTTCGACTCGTCACTTGGTTTTCTTCTATAAGAAAGAGCTCTCAACTTTTGTTAACAGCGCATAAGGTTCTTAAATTATGGACTATATTTTAATATTCTCTCAGTCCATCATAATAGTAAATTTTGATTTTCTTGAGGACGTTTAATGGATTATAAACTTTTAAATTTTTATAATTAAGAGGATTTGTGTGTGTAACCACACCCAGATACAGGCTTAGGCAGAAGGACCCCCAACCGAAGGTTAAGATTAGTTTCCTTTTTTTCCTTCTGTCCAGGACAAAGTTTAAAATGAACTTTTCTTTTACATGCCGAGGGCTCCTAATTTTTAAAAGTGAATATAATAAAACGATATAAATACCAAGAATATGGTGTTGGTTATTGTGGGCTCATGTCCAAGGTTCAAACCGTACTGATTGGAAATCTTGAAAAAAAAAAATCAGAAGGATAGAGTGATAGGTTCTTTGAGCTCCTGTAGAGGTTACCTTGTAGGGTCGAATTCTTTAACCTGGTCTTGAAAGATCCTACGTTATAAAAAAACGATATAAATACCAAGAATATGGTGTTGGTTATTCGTTAATAAAACGATGTAAATAGCAAAAATTACAACCGTAAAAGTAACCCAAAAGTAAAATTTTAAAAGTGAATATTAATCCAATTTTTGTTTTATTTAAGAGAGTATTTATTAATAATTTTTCTCTTAATTTTCTTAAGCGCCTTTTTTGATGTAACCAATAAACCATATTTATATCCGAAGGTTGTTTTTCCTTTTGATTATATTCAACAAAATTATACTTTTTTGATTGTTTTATTTTGTTAAATATGAAACGAAGATGAAAGTGTACTTCATCATTGATTACTTTACCTAAAAATAAGGTAAAACTTCAACGATCAAGACTAAGATATTATCATTCTATATTTTTTGCTTCGTATTTTTAAAGTGTAATATTACCATGAAAACATGCTTCTCGTAGTGAAAAAAGAAATAAAAAATTTACACAAAAAATAGTATAATCACAAAAGGTAGCTTTAGATAAATTTTTATATACTCTTAAAATTTATTATTTTTAATATTTGTTATTAGAGATAACATTTTTACATTCACCCCAAACTACTAAGGGTGTATTTGATTTACAGAATGTAAGATTATCAGTGAGAATATGATTACCGACGGGAATAAGATTATTGGGAATGTTGTATTTTGTGTTTGGTTCGTTTAGCAAGAATGTAAGATTACAGTGTTTGGTTAAATGAATAAAATATTATTGAAATGTATATTTTACCAAATTGTCTTTATTATATATTTATTTTTTTAACAAATTGAATTCTAGTATAATTTTACTATAATATTTTACACCTTCTGAATCCCGATGCCTAGAAGGTACAAATTAAAGACAACAGATATAAAGAAAGGCAAAATATATGTTCAAAAATCAATCTGCTAGTTTTTAGTTTTGGAGGCTATATGCAAAACTGCTAATGCTGGGCGTCCCGGTGGTAGTGGCAGCCCTTACAAGGTCAATAACGAATCCCTGCTCTGATACGATTAGGCCAATCCACCGTCTCTGTCGGCACTTTTCCGGCCAAACAATTTTATTATCCCCCCCCCCTTCCTTGTAGCTTGTAAGTAAAAGAATTTTCATTTATTCCAAATGCAGATAGATATGCAGTTTCGTCTTGGAGATGATCCTGAAAAATGTAGCGAAACCGAAAAGAAATACCTTTGTTATCAGGCTTTACGCATGCAAGGAGTCAGGGGGTTCTCCCAAAGATCATAGTTCGGGAAGGTCTCTTCCGGCAATCCGGTTCGTGTCTGGTGGGTGACAACCACGTCCTCGACAAAATTTGCCCAGCCCATATAAGGATCCCCAAAAGATTTAGACATAAGCCCCTTGTCTGGTTTTATGGATTTTTGTCGATGGCCCATGTACCTTCTTGCTCCGATTATCAATTTAGCGAAGTTGCCACCATGTGTCATCACGAACACATCAGACTTCAGGCACACCAAGAAATCAAGTGCTGCCAAGCTTGTTACATTCTTCCTGAAAACAGCCAACTCCTCCTTACTTGCTAACTCTTCCTTGGTAACCTGTTTGAAAGCCTTGTAATTGTCATCTTTGCAAAAGAAGAGGAAAATAAAATGGAACCGTTTGCGGTTCAAGTATGTCATGTCAACTACTACTTGCACTGCAGTCCCTGATATAGTCTTGTTTGTTTAACTAACAGGCTTGGACGAGTATAGCTCTAATGCTTCCATATATATAATTAAGGGCAGTAATAGAAAAATGAGTCCGAACAAGAAGATTTTCGAGGTTCATAGAAAATAAAGACTAGGAAAAGAACGCACCAGATTTGGGAACATGTTCCTTAAGGGTGCCATCCAATTCTGACCACCATAAACCTGGCCAGAAGCAACATAAATCTGTGTTTCTTTTGGATAGCCCATTGCTCGAAGAATCACTGCCACTTCCCCAGGTTCTAGAGGACACCTACCTTCCTCTTTTGCAGAGCCAGCTGCCAGAGATGGGTTCCATTCTGCCATCACAATCACTACAGAGATAAGCATATCTACTCCAACTGTTGGTTCTTCAAAAAGAACAAACAAGAACCTTATATCTTCGAGGCCATTCTTTTTGTCTGTATTCCGCCATTCTAGCTTTCTCCTCCCTAGTTCCAACAAAATCACAGAATGATAGGCCCACCATCCCTTTCTCAAACCTAAGATGTAAAGCCCTGAAAGAATGGACTATTATTTATTCTGGATTTAAAAATGCAGGAATTCTGCATTTTAGTAGAATCGTAGCTAAAAAGATACATACATGTAAGGATTCGGACTTCCCGTGCTGTTCCTCATTCTTGAGACCAACAAATCTGACCTGGAAGAAATTTAAGAGCATGATAATTGACCCTGCATCTTAGCCTATTGATTTCTGGAGGGACATTATCATACCTGAACCAACACCCAGGATATAGGGAAAGAAATTAAAGTGTAAGAGAATTAATAAACCAAACCGGAGTTTCATTTCTAAACACCCATAGCTTACCCAAGTCTATCAACAAAAGGTTTTAGGGACATTATCTTCTTCTCTTTGATCCGAGGCAGCACATTGTCGATGTAAAATTGTGCTGGAGCATATTTTGGAATGTTCTTCACTGTCCGTCTATTGCACATAACAAAAAATCTCCATGTAAACAATTCCAGAGGAAAAAAAGAAGGAATAGATGTATTGTAAATCAAGGTGCTTTATTCATTCTCGAGTTCTCATGTCATATTTAAAGTATGGACATCATCATCCAATAAAGCCTACGATTGAATAGGTACAAGCTAAAACCAAACTATGATACATGTAGCAAGATGGAGGCCTTTCAATGATGCTTCTAACATATATGAGATGAGACATGAGCACGTGATTTACTTAGGCCCATGAGAGGAGCGGAAAAAACTGCAAATTCTCAGCAAATTACAGTTAGCTTAGAGCTTAAAATCTAAGTTCACAACAAGATTCCAAGAATATATTTAATCTTGAGGTATTGCTATTTGCATATGAATCTTAACAGCTTGTCGAGGTTATAAGCCGAGTAGCCAACCTCAAGTAACTTGAATAAAGGAACAATTACTATGTGCCTAGACACTTCAAATGTTAATTAATAAGAATGTCAACATTAATGCATGCTACATCATTCTCGCAGATATTAGGCATTACTGAGGCTTCTAAAATCACTGGAACTGAGACCAAAGAGACTATAGTTGAAACAAAGTTTAATTCTAAACTTCATTGTCTGAAGAAAAATACTCTTTTCTACGTCATAAATTCGATGCATAAAGTTTGAGAAGCTAGGAGTAATAATTATACAAAACCATTTGGCTAAATTAATAATCTCAGTAACTTGTTGTTTCTTGCCTTCTCTATCCATATATCAATATTTAGGTTCCAATGATTTACATTCACAATATAAACAATATGTGTGTGGTTAATGGACAAGATCTCTCACGTTTGGTCTTTCCAAATCTGGTCCTGCTTCAGCACTGGCAAGATGAGAGTGGCATTCATAATTTTGGCCACAGCCACTGCATTACATATCTGCATGGAATTGTACAATAAGTCCATAAGGTTGTTGTTGGGCATAAAAGATGCCAAAACATTCAACTAACTTCCATTTTAAATACAACCAAAAGGCATTTGGAAATGATAAAAGAAAAGAATAGAACCAAGCAGCAAAAGTACCAGATTAAATCAAGAAATCATGACAGATGCAAGATTCCAAAGTGCTTTACGGAAGCACTTTATTTACCAATTCTAACTTGGGTAAACCTCACAAGCCTATGCATACCACAGATTAGGGATGGCTCCCCTTAACTTGGTTAAACCTCGGACAGCATCAAATCTCACAAGCCTATGCATACAACAATAATGCACATGGCCATGGGATGCTAACTATTAAGTATCAGTAATTTAATAGCTCAATCACTTCATAAGACTTGTAACGTAATTGAGACTATAATGATTTTAAATTGCAAGGTCAGGCAAGAGCATTTTTTTTTACAGAAATAGTAGGCCTCAAAATGACACCAGATACAAGTATCAGTACTTTATAATTAAATAACTTCAAAATGAAATTGTAACCTTTTCTAACACCATAAGATAAAAACGGTAAAAGGGTAAGAAAAACAGTTGATGAGATTGCAACTAGAAGAAAAGAATCCATACCGCAATTCAACTAAACAACATTACTTCATCTCTTTTTTAATCTTCAACATGAAACCAATATTTCAAGAGAAGTTAGTGTTTTTTTTATAATTTATATATGTATTTTATTAATAATTTAATTTTATATTTTAAAAATTTATAATTTATACACTTAAAGTTTTAATATAATTTCTTAAAATTATATTTTAACATAAGATCGCACACCTCACCCTATAATTAATTATATTAATTGTCAATGATTATATTAAAATTGAGGCCCCTAATTCTCACTTTTTCTTTTAAAATTAAGGTTTTTTTTTATAGTTTAAACCCCTAATTTAATTATTTTAACGATTTATTAATATAATATTAAATTAATTTTTTTAAATTAATATAACATATTTTCGTTTTATGCAAGCATATATTTTAGTTCCACACTTAATAATATCCGAGACAGTTCTGAACGTGGATGAGGAAACAAGAGGGAGAAAGTCTTTTGATGTATACTTTTATATTTAGTGGTTATCGAAGTTTTAATTAAATTAAATGTCGATATTACTAATATTAGATATTATTATATTGTTTTTTTATTATAATTATATTTTACATTACTTTTTTAAAGATCAAAATGTATTTCAATCTTTAAAATTATACTTATTTGATAGTTAAAAGAATTTTGTATCTAATTTTTTTTTATTTTACAACTCTATTACCTGTTTTCCCATTCATCATTCTGTTGCAAAAACATAAATTTTAATGACGCCGAGACGGTGGCCGAAACTTTTTGCTACGACGAATGCTTTCCGGGATTCGGTTGGATTACGTACCGGATAAGTGGTCATAAAGGAAGAGTGGACAGAGTTCTCCGTGAGCTGGATATGTTGTTTCAACAGTTGAACGAAGATCATCGTAAACCTGAAAGAACAAAGCATGAGGACAACATCATCGACGTCATGCTCGGAGTTCAAAAGAAACAAATAGAGGAACACGGTCATGCTTGGGTGACTAAAAATCACATCAAAGCAATTCTCTTGGTAAATTATTTCCCAAAAATTTACCATTTTTTTTGGATAATCAATCATTGTATTCATCCAAGAAAGCAGCAAACTGCTACAAAATAACAAACCAGCTATACAAGTCCCCAATCAGTATATAATTGACTATTTACAGTATCCAACCTGTTTATATTGTATATATACAGTTTAATTATAACTGCCTCTTTGATAGCATTTACAATGGCAGCATACGGGCGCGATAATCCTCTAAAAAATTTTCGATTACGCTCATCCCAAATGAAGTATATGTACCATTTCCATGCTAGTTTGAGAATATGAACTAGCAGAGACTTTCCTTTTAAGCTTCTATTCAACCAGCACAGCCGGTCATCCCAGCTCTGGCTTTGCTGCTGCAATCCACAACTTAGCAAGATAGTATCCCAAACTCTCCCCGAGTAAACACAATCCGAGAAGAGATGACTTCTCGATTCTAAAGCAGCCCCACAGAACCCACATTGAGTATTAGTCATCATTGCAAAACGAGCTAATCTCTCCTTAGTTGGCAACCTGTCGAGAATAACCATCCAAGTAATCAAAGAATACTTAGGTATGTGCGCAGGGAACCATATAAGTCGATGCCAAACCACTTTGTCATTCTTTTCTCTAATTCTGTCCCATATCCAACCACCCCTAACTTGAGACTAGTTAGTGGTAGCAGTAAACAAACATCCAACCTGTTCTCTCATTTTGATAAGCTTCCTAAGAGTCCAGTTGAAATGAGGTTTAGATGTAACGTTCCAGTAATCATCTTGCTTAAAACAGTAAGCCTTAATCCAGGCTATCCACAGAGAGCCTTCACCTGCTAATAAATTTTTAATAAGCATCAGACAACAGGTTTTGTTCCAACCAGCCAAGCTTATAAGTCCCAAACCTCCCTCTGATTTAGGTGAGCAGATCTGACTCCAGTTTACTCTGGCACCTCGAGCAGGAGAGTCATTGCCCTTCCAAAAGAACCTCATACACAACCTTTCGATGTCCAAGATAACTCCCTTAGGTAGAATAAGTTGTCTGCTCCAGTAGGAGAAAATACTAAACAATACAGCTTTGATGAGCTGCAACCTCCCTACAAAGCTCAGTTTCCTGCTAGACCACTGTCTCAATTTGCGTTGATCTTATCCAATAATGCTTTACAATCAGTCCCAGAAAACTTCCTAGTCACTAAAGGCACGCCCAAATACCTAACAGGGAGTTGTCCAACTCTTAAGCATGTTGCATTTCTGATTTGTTCCACTTCTCCCCCAGAAATTCCACAAGAGTAAATTTCAATCTTCATGGCATTTAACTTCATTCCAGACAAATCATAGAATTTATCCAGGATGTTAAGCACCCCCAACATTGAGTCCAATGATCCATGGCAGAACAACAACAAGTCATCAGCAAAACATAAATGTGTAAAAGAGATCCTCTTACACCTTGGATGAAATCTAAATATTCTATTCCTGGCAGCAACTTCAAGCATTTTAGAGAGAAAATTCATTACAAACACAAATAGGTAAGGGGATAATAGGTCCCTTTGCCTAACACCCCTTGCACCTCTAAAGTAGCCTACTAAGCTGACATTCAAAGCTATTGAATACATAGGAGTTGTCACACAGGTACTAATCCATCCCCAAAATTTTTTTAGGAAGTCCCATAGCATCAAGAATGTTTAACAGGAAATCCCAACTGATTGAATCGAATGCTTTACGTAAATCCACTTTGATTGCACACCTTGGGGAGAGATTCTTCTTTGCATAACCCCTAACTATTTCTTGTGCTAACAATGTGTTATCAGTGATGCTTCTGCCCTTAACAAAAGCAGATTGACTAGCAGAAATCATACCAGGGAAAAACTGGGCAAGCCTAGTAACCAGGATTCTAGTGATTGTTTTATACACAACATAGCAGCAAGATATATGCCTAAATTCCTTAACCATGCTAGAGTTCAAAGACTTAGGCACTAAGACAATAGTAGTAGCATTAAATGCTGGAAGGAGATAAGAAAACTGAAAAAAAGTACATCACTGCATTGCGGAAGTCTCTATTAACAATCTTCCAAGCTGCCTTGAAAACCTAGGAGGTGTAGCCATTTGGGCCTGGGCTCTTATCCCTCCCCTGTCTGAACAAAGCCTCATTGATTTCCTTGTCTGAAATCTCACCTTCTAGTATACTCTCAGCACCAGCAGGCAAAGAATAGTTTAATACATCTTTTAATAATTTAGGGTTGCAACTATTAACCAAGGGGTCAACAACCCCTATAAGCCTACTGTAAAAATCCACCAGCTCAGCAGCCATGTCATTAAATTTCTCTAGAAATTGCCCATTCTCATTTTTAAGAACTCTAATAGTGTTCTTTTTTTTAGACTCAACTTTTTTGGTAAAAAAACTTTTTGCTTAAGTCATCTTCCTGCAGCCAGTGCACCTTAGCTCTTTGTCTATAGAAATCCAGTTCAGCCATTTCCAAGTCAACTAAAACAACTTGTAATTTCTCCTCCTCCTCAATCCCAGCCTGATTAGTAGCATCAAGGTTAGCAAGTTGAATATGTTCCAGTTCAGCTCTTTTAGCAGCTACTCTTGATGAAATATCAGAAAATTGAGTCCTATTCAAATCCTTCAAAATAGGCTTCAATCTCTTTAATTTGCAAAACATCACCTGCATAGCATTACTATCACAGTGCTGTAACCAGGAAGCTTTAACACTGCTCAAAAAATTCTCACTTGTAGTCCAGCAATTGAAAAACTTAAAGGGCTTCGGTTTATGAATCCTAGCCTCTTTTTGAGTCCAAATAATCCCCAAACAGTGATCAGATACTCCAGGAGCCTTATACTCAGCAAAAGAGACTGGAAAATCTAGTATCCACTGAGGATTAATAAGAATCCTGTATAATTTCCTGGCCAGGTAGGAACTTTCTTGTTTGTTAGACCAAGTGAAAATAGGTCCTATAAATTAGTGATCTTGCAACTCCAAAACCTCCATACATCCTGTAAATCATCCATGTCAGATGAAGAATATGACCCCAAATCACAATAAAAACTCTCATTAACCTCAGCTATAATGTTGAAATCACCCCCAACTACCCAAGAAGAAGCACCAACATCATTCTCCAAGTTTCTCAAGTATTCTCATAGTCCCCTCCTAGTTTGACTATTATTACTGCCATAAACTACAGTAATAAAAACTTTGTGGCCAACAATGTCACCAAGAATAGTAAGGCCTTGGTCTGGTTCCCCAACAACAGAGAAAGGTAATCTCTTCTTCCACAATATCTAAATTCTACCTTCATCAATGAAATTATAGTTAGCCTCATAATTCCACTCATCAGATAGAGCAGTATCCCACTTAGAAATATTGATTTCTCTAATTCTAGTCTCCATGAGATAAATCACCTCCACCCCTAGGCTCTCTAGTCTATGGAACACTTTTCTTTGTTTGAGGGAGTTGTTAATACCCCTCACATTCCATAAGCAAATAAGCATTAAGCATGAATAGGAGAACCTCCGCTGCCAACTCCTACATTTGTATAGGTTTAACCTTCTCCGCCATATCCTTCTTTTTTGCTTTAATCTCATTGAGAAGCATAGTGACTCCCATAGCAGCTACTCGAGGCTTTCGGTCATGGCCACCACCACCTTCCAGTATCTCCAGTTTGCTTGAGGAGCCAGTATTATCTTTTCTTTTCCCTTTAACTTTCTTCTTAATCACCATGGAATCTAGCAAGGAAGGAAATTCACCTCCAGCAGGAACATCTTGCAAACCACCAGGACCTACCAAGCCCTCTGCCAGTTGCATAGCTTCTACACCACTTGCAGTCTGTTTCACCTTATCAACCTGATCTAGCTTAGTCTGGCCAGCATCAACCACAAGAGTATCAATACTCTCTTGAAAGTCCTGCACAGATAACTCCTCAGCATTCCCAATCTTCAACTCAGTCTTTTTAGTACATTCAATACTACCTTCAAGAATAGCCGCATTAGGACAAAGAGGCAGACTAGGAGGATCTACTTCCTTGCCCTTCAGCGTCTCTTTTCCATTAGGCTCAGTGGGATTGAAAATATTCTTCTTCCTCCATATTTGGGTCTCCTTCCCCTTCAGAGAAGCACTGGCTACCTCAGTACACACATTAGAATGTTGTCCAAAAGTTTTACAGTGTAAGCAGAATTTGGGTAACCAGGGAATATAAACCCCGATCTTCACAATAGAGCCATCACTCATCGCAACATTGACCAACTTAGAAATTTCAGACCCTGCCTTAATCTCCACATAGGCCTTAGCATACTCTAACCTAGCCTTAGATGATGTGATGGCATCCATATACAGAGGTTGCCCCACATCACTTGCAATGTAACTTAGGCCCACCCTAGAATAGAGCTCAAGGGGTACATTGTATAATTGCACCCAGACTGGGATGTGCTTGAGATCAAAATCAAGCTTCTGCAAGCTCGGCTCCCATTTTCTCAGCACAAGTGGCTTGTTTTGTACATGTCAAGGCCCGTTCTCAAGAATCTAATCTCTCACCTCTTTGCTCGAGAAAGAAAATACGAAGAGATTTGATCTAGCCATACTTACCTTAACAGTCGAGTCTTTCCCCCATAGGATTTCAGCAATTCATTGCATAGAACTGAAATTAGGAGCCGTGTCAATAAATTGCCCCATCACCGCATGACTCAATTCTGCTATCCCATCTGAAACCTCAGGCGGGAAGAAGTTTAGGGTTTGCTCCTCAACCCCCCCCAAACAGTTTCCTCCAGTCCATATTTGAAGCCGTTGAGGTCATAGTTCCACCAATCCAGTCGCAGGCACTCAAAAACACTAAAGAAGAAAAAGAGATTGGCAACGAAGAAGAAATTTTGGAAACCCATCAGTCCTGCTACCATTTTAGTTCCATTAATGTCTTGAAATAATCTTAGTTCAAGTATCAAACATAACATGTTCTTGGGCGGCATCGACACCAGCACACTTACTGTGATATGGGCAATGGCGGTGCTTATGAGAAGAAAGTACAAGCTGAAGTTCGAATGATCGTGGGGAAGAAGAAAGGAAGAGTACTGCAAACTGATGTCGACCAACTTCATTACGTTAAGTTGATCATCAAAGAAACTCTAAGATTACATCCAATGAATTTGACGTAGAAGGTGTTTGCTTTATCCGGAAGCATAATTTCTAGAACATCTTTCGGCAAGTGTTTCCACGACAGCGAGTTCGACCGTGCTAAGTTTTATGAATTGGTTCACGATGTGGCAACGGTGGCCGGAGCCATTTCGTACGACAAATTGTTTCGGGATTCAGTTGGATTATAGATTGGATAAGCGGTCATAATGGAAGAGTCGAGCGAGTTTTCCATGAGCTGGATGCATTGTTTCAACATGTGATTGATGATCATCTTCAACCAGGAAGGACTAAGCAAGGGGACGACATTATTGACGTGATGCTCGGAATCGAAAAGGAGCAAATCGAGCAACACAATCATGCTTGGCTCACTAAAAATCATATCAAGGCAGTTCTCTTGGTAAGTTATTTGCCCAAAAACACTAATTTTTTTTAAAGTTATGCACACAGATTCTACTCGACTAATGCTCGGCGTTTACATAACATGTTCTTGGGCGGCGTAGACACCAGCGCGCTAATTGTGATCCGGGCAATGGCCGAGCTTATGAGAAATCCAACACTGATGAAGAAAGCACAAGACGGAGTTCGAGGCGTCGTGGGGAATAAAGGAAGAGTAGTTGAAACCGATCTCCATCAACTTCAATACCTCAAGATGATCATAAAAGAAACTAAGATTGCATCCTCTGGCACCGATGCTGATCGCCAGAGAGGCCATGTCACACAAGGTCAACAGCTACAACATTCATCCCAAAACACTTATCCAAGTCAATGCTTGGGCCATTGCAAGGGACCCAAAGAACTGGAAAACCCCATAAGATTTCTCCCCGGACAAGTTTATCGATAACACCATGGATTTCAAAGGACAGAGCTTTGAGCTGTTGCCATTTGGAAGTGGAAGAAGAGGGTGTCTAGGAATATACATGGGGACCATTACGTCGGAGCTTTTACTTGCAAATCTCTTGTACTGTTTCGATTGGGCTTTGCCCGCTGGGACGAAAGAGAGAGATGTTAACATGGAAGAGCAGACCGGTCAGTGCATTACCCTCAACAAAAAGACGCCTCTTCTCCTTGTGCCAATCAAATACCTTCATGCCCAAGCATCTCAGTAGACGATTAATGTGACCCAATGTCAATTGCTTGATGATATAAGGGTAAACTACATATTTAGCCATCTACCCTATTCTTTAATTTAGTTTTGGTGATCAAACTATTTCTTTTTAAAATTATATCTAATATTTTAATTTTATTCTATTTTGATTAAATATTATTGAAAGATAAACAGAACTACTAACGTTAATTTTTTTTTTTTCAATGATGGTATGACATTGCCTTATGGTGACACTTTAGTATCACCGTTAAATTTTTAACGAAGAGTGACCAAAACGAAACGTTAGATATGATATCAAAAATAGTTTAATGACCAGAACAAAATTATGAGAATAAATATATGAGTAAATGCATAGTTTACTCCATATATAGGGTATGTTTGGATAAGCAATATTGCAATGCAAGCACGAAACAAATTATTTCAATAGTTAAAGGAATTGTTGTTATTCTTAGAAGTCTCGGGTTTAACCACCAGCCACTGTAGTCAGGGTGACTGAGCGTTTATTATCAAATGATTTAGAGTATTTAGAACATGTACTACTTTGTAATTACCTTATCTTAATCATATATATATATATATATTACAATGCAAAGTGGGTGGTGCACCTCTATAAACCCACCTAAACATAAAATTGGGCTCGTTAAATAGGCGTGATCGTGATTCTGTTGTTTCCTGGCCGTATCTTTTAAGGGAGTCCAGGCCTAATAAAGGTCAAATGCATCTACACTACATACTAAGTTGGGATTTAGCATTTGTATTTTAGTTAATTTAATAAATTTTAGATTATGTATTTTCTAAAATTGAAAATTTCAATATGAGACATAAGAAGAGAAACATATATCTATGATATGTATTTGTGTATTCAACACGTATAACTAGAGGTGGACGTTCGATTAAGTCGAGTAAAAAAAATTCGAGTTATTCGAGTTGATGAGTCATATTTCATAACTCGGATTTGACTTGAAATTTTTTCGAGTCAAGTTGATTTTATAAAATTCAAGTCGATTTTCGAGTTTCTATTTAAATTTAATTGTAAATATTTATAATATTATACTAGTATTTTATTCCAATTTAAGTGTCTTTCTATAACCATATATACAATACAAATATATATCTTCATATTTTGTTCAAATATGATATACATATATCACATAAAGTCCAAAGACTCGACTCAAACTTGAAAGTATATACACTAATTACTAAAAAATTCGAGTTATTTGAGTTGCATTTCACAACTCGATTTGAAATTGAAATTTTTTCGAGTCAAGTCAAGTTTATGAAATTGCAACTTGAAGTCAATTCAATTCAAGTTTTTTCGAATCGAATCGAGTCAAAAATTCGATTTTTTAGTCGAGTCGAGTTTTGCTTACCCCTACGTATAACACATGTTGTTTTTTAATAAATTTTTTATAATTTATATTTTATTTTTTTATTTTCATTAAGAACCTTTTGAAAATTTTAAATTAAAAAACTACAAATAATCGTATCGTAATACAAAGTGAAAATCAAACTTAAAATATTAAAAAGAGAGCTGAGAGCACATGGAGAACATGGGCGCAGAGGCGAACAACTTTAGTGGGCCAAGGAAGGCCCATCGTTGTCGTTGGCTTCCACTTGGATAAACTATCATTTACTGCACATGGAAGGGACTTTTTTGTAATGCCAACATCGTGCCTAAACCCTAAACCGCTTAGGGATTTAGGGTTTCCCTTCCAATTAATATTAATTATAAATAATAATTTCCATTCCTTTTCTTTTCTTTTCTTTTTTCTTATAGAAGTCATTAATTTTATTAAAAAAAATATCTAGAATTACAATGAAGATTTACAATCATAATAATAAATTAAGCACATATTTAGGATATTTTCCTGAAATTATTGACATAAAATTAGAAATTTAAAATCACCTAAGGACCACAAGAAAATATTAAAAAAACTAATCAAAACTCGAACAATGATAAATACAAACAGATCTAATCGCATTGGCAAACGAACCTCAAAAGAGAATCAAGCTATTGAAAGACACCAATAAAACTGCAAATCAAAATCGATAGACGTGAAAAAACTACTCATGAAAGCAAATCAAATATCCAAATCCAATATGAGGGTCCAAAGTAAGGAAGCTCAGCATGATAACAGATAAGTGTCATCTTGATAAGTC